TGCTTGCCTCATGGTCATGGATTTACGTTGATATGCACTGACACACAACAATCACCAAGGACCAAAGGAAATAAACCTAAACCCCGTGATATGGGTGAAGGCTGTCCGAGACAACTGAGGGGTATTTTAATAGTTCGAGGGGGAAAGGAGGAGTAAGACGACATAGGGTAGTCCGTAGGAAGACCTGGAAAAATAAAACAAAACCTTGACACCTGAAACAAACACTAATGGACGCTCCGGAGTATTTATCTCTGAAACGGCGCAAGCAAAGTCGCAAACCATGGAACCGAGTGTAGGTTCGGGCTCACGGGAGTAGAAGACGCTAGAAAGAGTTGCTCAATTTTGTTTCGCTATGTGAACCTCACCGGAACTAGTTAAATCGATGGCGGAGATATTTCTCTGGACGAGTCAGGCCTATTGGCAAAGCTAGGATCGGTTATAAGTCGCTAAGTTCAACGCTTTCAAACTTCTCGGGTCGCTGAGATCGTAACGTTAATTCTCTGAGATGGTGAAGTCGAAAACTTGTTTTTCTGTATGCTACTTTGTACAATTTATACTACAGGAATGGCTTTGCGACCGTCCAGAGATAAATAACAAATAAACACCGCTACCCACAGTATTGCTCAGCACTTTCCTCCGCTATACCATACACCATACGACTCTCTTGCACTCCCACTTGCTCTTTCCAGCCCCTATAGGTCGCCTCGATGCTCCGCCATCTGACCCAAGCGGTCCCATCACTCTGTGCGACACGCCGATCACGTGCTAATTACCTCCGGCCACTTGCTGACTGATGCTGACCTCATGGTGACTCGTATGCGTCTGCACCTTCGCTATCTTGACGGAAACGAGGGGGGAGTGAGTGCTGGAGGGTGGGCATGAGGACGACGCCCCTCGATAGAAGTGTCTGCGGGTCCCGGAGCTAATTCAGCTAGAAGTCGCGTTGGTTAAGTCATTCCGGAGCTTCGGTGCGCGGAGATAAATCACAGAATGGGTCCGTGTACGCCTCGAGGATGTTAGGAAGTCCAGAGCTAAATAGAAAAAAAGTCTTTTAGAGCCCATAGAAGCCTAGAGGCATGAGAGCGCTGTGTTGAATAAGCTCCGGGGGGGCTTGTATGATGTGCGGAGTCCGCGTTTTCGGGGGTCAGATGATCCTGAGGCTTATCAACGTCCGCAAGCTTGGTCATTTGACAGGGACGAAGGAGGGGAAGCATTGGAAGCTGGGGATGAGGATGGCTCACTGCAAGACAGGTGTCAATGGCTGCGGGAGTTAATTCTTTGCAAAAATCCTGAGTCACTCCAGAGTGTCTGAGCACGTGCCTTGCGTGTTGCACAGCCAGATGGTAAGGTTTAGGGCAGGTCCTGACACATCAAAAGCATACTTTGGGAGCTAGGGTAGTATAAAATGTGTAAAGTAAAAATAAGTCACTGTCTCAGTGTATCACAGTTAGAATCTCAGTGACCTTCAGAAGTTCAAAGCAAATTATGATCAGCCCTAGCTTTGCCAATAGGCCTGACTCGTCCAATTAATTATCTCCATGTCCAGATATTATCTCCAGCAAGTGCATATCAAAGAAAATAACAAGTGTCTTTAGGAGAGTCCTACCCCGTGCGCATGATCCCTTGATTGCTGTCAGTGCAGTGTTGTCTATCAGGCAACCTTCAGAGATAAATATGTTGAAATAATCCTGGCAAACATAGATTGAGCACGCTTGCCCCAGGTGGTCGGTTGCCCAAAGGGCAATCGCGTACCATACAAAGAGCAGATACAGCGACTATCTATGAGTTCCGCATAAATATTCACCCACTACAGCCGCCTATAGCGGTGCCGTCCTATTGCGCGCGAGCTCGCAAGCTCAACCATAACCCTGAAATTCCAACAAAATACTCTGTAGCATTGTGTAGTTGTTTGTTGCAGGCTTCAAGGTTTTATTTTTATTATTCTAGGTCTTCCTATGGACACCCCCATGTCATCTTACTCCTCCCCTCCCCCTTGAACTCTCTTATTACCCTTCAGTCGCCTTAGACCGCCTCCACCCATACTGCTGGGTGTGTTTGGTTGTGTTCCCTTGGTCTTAGGGGTTGTTGCGTGTTAGTGCATATCGCCGGTCATGTGATCAGTCACCTTCAGTGCCGACCGCAGCCAAAGAGCTGATGGAATTCTCCAGTTTCCTTTGGATAAGGGTAATCAAGATCTGGCACATAATTTCTTGAGAAACAGGTCAAATGAGATTATCACATCAAATTCTCAAAGGATTCACAATTCTCTGCATATGCAGCATATCATACCTTGACCTTTTCACTGGATCATCACAAAATCTGGTTTGGCCATGTACCACACAACCTTTTGCTAGGCCCAAAAGAGTGCAACTCCCAAAGTGTTAGAAGGAGGTGGATTCTGACCAAATTATTCCCTAGTCTGAGCAAAATATCACCTGACTGGAGCAGTAGAAAACAAGAGTAGCTGTTGCTAGTGATGGACCTGGAGGTACACTTAATTCCAACAAAACCATATTATACAAGCCCTAAGATAAAGTACTATGACTGTGTCACCCCATCCTCCCGAACCTTCCTCTTCTTCCGACGCTCTATGTTCCATCGCTCGAACTCCTCCTTGAGCTTGCCAACTCTCACCTGATTTTGGGGATGCGCCGACCCTGTCATCAGCATAGCAATTTTTCCATACTGGTGGATACCGTCATCTCCTTTCATTTCTCGCTCGGCCTTAGTGGGCGAGCATTCCGCGGTCTGAGGAGTTTCAGCTCGCGACTGCCAGAAAGAGATGGCAGCCTGCGGGTCATACCCGGCATGAGCTAGTAATCTGAGCTGAGTGAGTTAGGGAAAGCGAGATAAAATGAATGGAAGAACGGACCGAACGGAGACAACATCCGCTTCGATCTCCTGTTTCATGCTGTTGCAGTACTCCCCAAGCCTCGCCAGGTCTCCGCTGCCCACTTTGCCTATTCGAGCAACAGCGTCATTGACGAAGGGTCCAAAAAACATCGTGAAGGGAAAGAGGAGAGTCCTAGCGACGTCGGCGAGCATGGAGGACACGCCTGGGATGACGACGTTGCTGGAAGACAGTGTCTCGAGATGATGGGAGAGAATGAGATGAGCTAGTTCATGGGACAACAGCACGGCGAGTTCCGTGGTGGCCTCGGCTGTGGGTATGGGATGCGGCGGGGGAGGGGGAGAGAACAGAGCGGAAAACAGATTGCGTAGAAACGAAGTCCCGAAGGAGGAAGCTTGGGGAAGAGCTCTTAGAGGGGGGTGCTTAGCTAGAACCTCGTCCAGGAATCCCGAGTAGACGACGATGCCACCAGCACCGTCGGGCCCAAACCCGTACGAGAACGCGTTTGACGAGCCTGGCTTGTCGACGACAATCAAGGAATAAGGCGGACCAGGTACAGCATGCGGAACAGGCGGCGCCTTGCCGTCTACCATGGTATCGTAGAACATTCTGACGTACTCGGCTCCTCTTGGCCGGGGGCGAAGGGGATAGTCGGCAGGAGGGGGGAAGGGCTTGTCGTCGCTGCCGCGTTCAAGCCAGGATGGATTCAGGGCGTGCTCGTTGCTCAAGGCCGGCACCGTCTGTTCAAGATGGCGGAGCGTGCTCCTGACCCACTCGTATCGCCAGTCGTCCGGCGACAGCAGGGTAGGTGGGCTCTCCTGCGACAGAATCTCGCCCACGGCGTGATACCATCCACTGCCTGCAAGCTGGGCAGAGATCTCGTCCTCTTCTTCGGGTGAAAGGAGGATCAGCCGCCATCTGGGTGCGCAGATGATAAGATATACGGTTACCGGGCACACGGGGACGAATGGAGATACTCACCTGCCTGTAAGAGGCGTCCTCTCCAAACTCGCCAAGATGGCTGCCCAGAAAACGGCTATCGGTGCGAAGACGAGGAGACGGAAGATGAGCGTCGCATTGCGCATCCGCTTGAGCACCATCTCCTTGCGCTCCTCGAGCCCCGGCCTGCCATCCATGCGCGCGGCGGCTTTGAGGAATCTCCGTGACTTGTGGTTTTTGATAACGATGAAGGGGACGAACGTTAGGGCGACGCGGGCGAGCGTCTGCGCGGCCTGGATAGCAGTCGAGGCCTGTAGACTCGAATCATGTTAGGCTTGGTTGTGGCTAAGGTGTGGGCAGATCGGACCGACCTTTAACGCTCCGAGGAGGGCCAGCACGGGCAGACCTTGGTTCGTGCGAGTCGCATGGAAATGTCGGAATGAGTGCGGGTGGTCCTTGGAGGCTCGTCCTGCGAGAGCGTCAGCCTGCCGGCGGACAGCGCGGGTCGGTACGGCAGAGAACGAATGGAGCGGGCGGGCGCTGGGTGCGTGGGCGGCGTGCTGTACGCGAGAGCTGCGAGAGAGCGAGCGCAACATCGCACATTGTACGAGAGGGGCCGTCGCCGTTGTCCGTCCTAAAGTCGCTGCAGCCGCGCTCATCACGCAGCGGACCCGAGTCCCGCGACTTGCCGTCTGATATACGAGTCACTCCTGTTCTGCGCCGTTCCCTGCGCAGCTGCCCCGCATGTTCTTCTTAATACACTACTCCACCGCCTGCTTTGTAATTATTCGACGGCACCGTATGATACAGCTGCAAGGCATCAGAGCGAGATACACAGACTACGAGATGAACGTCGCTTCGTTATACATCTTCCCCCCCACAGTGATGCCTTCCGACAACCCCGGCAAGACGGAATCGGGCCCCTTGACCACCAGCTGCGCGTCGTTCAGCCACTGGATCGACATCGTTAGTCGCCGTGGAATCATGGCACACATGCTCGACCCACCTGGTAGATATACGGTTTCGTCCCCGCAACATAGTTGACCACTGTCTTCAGGACATAGGGGATCTCCGCCAGCACGTCTACCTTCTCGACCAACCCCTTGTAGTTGCTCGGTTCGCCGAGGGGTACCTGCAGAGTGGCATCCACCGCACCCTCACTGCCTGGCACGACTGATGGACCTCCCCAGCGATATACTATCTCCGTCGGCGCGTCGTAGCCAGTATCCGGGTCGTGAACAGGGTTTAAATGTACCGCTCGTGACATGACGCCCGCACCCTCTGGGACCGCCTCGTCGGGCCACTTCGTCTCCCCCGTCACAAGGACCAGCTTGCCCCCAAGAACCAGCGAACCGACGCTAACGGTAACAAACCCGGACCCAGCTCCCTTTCGGCCGTAAGCATCCGTGGTGGTGAAATCCATCAGGATCGCGCTGACGCCGCCGTGCTCCTCGCTCTGGAAATTGGCAAAGTTCCAGCGAGAGGCCACGAGGTTGGGTCGCATGCCCTGGATGGCATGCACGAACATACCCGGACCTTGGATCGGGGTAGCCTGGCCCTTGTGGATGATGTGCCCCGAGCCCATATCGCGCGGCCAGAAGCGGTGGATGACATATCCCTCAGGCTTCTCGGGGTCCACACCAAAGTACGAGTAGCCGCCCTTGGGGCCCTTCCCGACCTTGAAGCCAGGAACGGATGCAGGACGCTTGACCTCCAGAGATATTTGGAGATCGTCGGACAGATTCGCGTTGATCGTGTAGCTCTCGGGATACTCAGAGTCAGTGTGGGACTTGTGGGTGATCGTGAACTGGTCAGACTTGCTCGACCGCTTGTCAAGACCAGGAGGGGGAGACACGAAGTTGGAGACATTGACGGATCTCCATAGCTTCTCCTTTGTATTCGGGTTGAAGATCTTGCTCGTGAGCTGGATCGTAGGATACCAAACGCTGCGTGGCGATGAGCCCTCAATGATCTAAGTGCATGGGGGCGGAGGGACTTACCCCACGCTTGAGTGAATGACCTGGACCATCACGCTCGTGCCATCTTCCAGTGTGTTATACCACGTCTGGGTCTCCGTCACGAAACCGCTCGCCGTGCAGAGCCATTCCGTGTCCGTTGGCTCGAGCTCACCAAACAACTCCGACGGAGGTACCCTCGAGGATACCGGATGGAAGTTGGGCGCGTTTGGATCGCTCGTCGCGCCTGACCTGGAAAGCAGTTATAATGTGCCGTCATCACAAGCCCGTCGCACAGCTCACCAGAGAGAGGAGAACATGGTGGATGGGTAAGGAGAGAGACGAGGAGGGAGTGCTCGAGGCGTGAAACAGACCCCGCACGTAATGAGACTTCCTTTTCAGGAGCCGCCTATTTACGTCTGAGCACGGCGCTCTTGCACTCAGCACCATTACGCCTGCATTGCGGCTAAGTACGTCTCATACAACGAGAAATTGGCGGTGTGCAGAGTACTCATACAATCCGAGACTTTATCCCGGGAGTCCAATCAGCAGAGACACACATACTTACCTAGAGTGCCTACAGATTCTGTGACAGTCACGAGTCACATCCGACATTTTGTCCTTGCCCGTGCACTTGCAATGCACTTGCCATGGGCCGCTCGCGCACGAAATCCAAAAAGACAAGTTCGTCTCTAGCAAAAAGCGAGTCCGAACAGTCGAAGCCAGCACCTTCAGTACCCGCTCTTCTTGAGAAAGCTCGCGAACTCGTTGTTCAATGCGACTATGACCTTGCCCGGCGATTTATCGAGCGAATACTCGAAGCCGAGCCCGCCCATGTCGAGGCCAAGGAGATGATCGGCGTCGTCCAGCTGGAGACGGGAGATCTCGACGCTGCAAAACAAGTGCGTCCTCGGTCCAAGCACACGCACCTGATAAGCGCTTACTGAACAAGATCCTCCTTACTAGACATTCACCTCCTTGCTGACCTTGGCGGATCCGCCTCCGCCATCAGCACATCTGTACCTCGCACAACTCAGCGACGATGACCCCCATTTGGCCTTGCAGCATTATCAGTCCGCTGTCGACATCCTCATGGGTCAGCTGAAGGGCAAGGAGCGCGCTGTTGATCCCAACGTCGGGAAAGACGAACGCACGCTCAAGGGCACGGCCGTCCAGGCTCTCATCAGCATGGTGGAAATATGGATGGATCCTTCCTATGATTTATGGTGCGCCCGGCTATTTTATCCCTGCTGACATACAGCTGACAGCGTCCTCAAGTGATGCTCCTGAGGCAGAGCAGACCTGCGAGAACCTTTTAGACCTCGCGCTACAAATTGACCCCGACAATGCAGAGGCATTACAGACCCTTGCGTCTGTTAGGCTATCGCAGCAGCGTCCGGACGAGGCCAAAGAAATGCTGGAGAGGGCATGGGCGAAGTGGAAGGATCTCGAGCTAGGTATGTCCTGTGCCCCTCGCTCCGGCAACGGGACCAATGCAGGCTTTTGTAGACGACGAAACGATGCCGTCCATTGAGACTCGTCTATCGCTTGTAAAGCTCCTTCTTGAGCTATCCTTGTTCAAACCTGCGCTGGAAGTGTTGCAAGGCATTATAGCTACGGACGACGAGTCGGTAGACGCGTGGTACCTGGAAGGATGGTGCTTCTTCCTCATGGCAGAGCAGGCTCGCGAGAGCGGTGCGGATATTGAAGGGCTTGGCTGGATGGACCTGGCAAAAGACGCGCGAGACTGCCTTGAGATGTGCCAAATGGTGTGTGGGTCGTGATGATTGAGCCTCGCGCTGACTTACCCTTCTCCTCAGCTGCACGCGAGCGAGGGAAATCCTGACGTGCCCATGTTAGCGCATGTAAAAGAGCTGATAGACAAATTGCAGGCTTTGGGTGTAGAACCCTCGGAGGAGGGACCGGAGGATGACGACGACGGCTGGGAGGACGTTGACGGCAGTGACGATGAGGACGGCGATGTCGAAATGAGCTAGGGGCCGTTCAAGTTGTTGGCTTGCTTTGTACCTACTACACATCTATCCCTCGCACATATCTTCAGAACCTCTGGCTCGAACATATCTCGACGAGGCCAAATGTGCCGACGGCAATTCCATCGGATAATTCTCACGCCTCGCGTCTGCCGAACTTCCAACGAGTTCGTCCGGCCCTACCTCTACGTCCGCCTTTATTTTCCCCTCCGTCTTGCGGCAGGTAAAGTCCAGGATATTACAAGCGGAATGGTATGGTCGAGTTGCTGTGAACTATACTCGAGCGAATGCTCTAACATGTATTTGCCTAGGCAGGTTTACTCCCTCGAATGCCAGGCCGGTGCGGCTTAGCAGCCCTCTTTGGGCAGAGCGCAGGTCCCCTCAGACTGGCCACACATTCGCGTCGATGGCTAACGTCCTCGGCGGGGCAGTCATCGCCCAGCGAACAAACTCCCAAGCCATACCGTAAAGCAGCTGCAACGCCGCTTCGTCGGACCGCTTCTGCATCTCTCCCGATCCGTTCGAACCCCACACCGACACGGAGTGATATCCAGCCCATTTTCACGCTCGCGACTGCAGAGCGCTACTTGTTCTCCCGGTTGCGGGGACGCCTCCCCGCGGCCTCCCAGCTCTTGCACGAATCGTACTGGGTGCCCAAGTGGGGGTCCGGTGGCAAGGAAGGTGAAGTGTTCGTCTTCGAGAACGGCAGCTTCGTGTGTTGGGGTCTTGGAGAGGAGGATGCGCGGAAGTTTGCCAGCGAGGTGATAACCAGGGGCACGGAGATCGGGCACCTCAGGGAGGCGGAGACAGAGGAGCTGGACTTTGTGATGGATCCTACAGAGTGGGCTGGGCAGCATCTTGCATACGGAATTGTCTGACGTGTTGTTCCATTCCAGACAGACGCGGCTTCAGGGAGATCTGATTATCTTGGGTGATAGTCCGCCTTTGAGCTCTGCGCAGTCACTACCGGAGAACCTTCCGCCATCTGCTTTACCCGCGGAGACACTGCTTGCCCGCTATGCTTTCTCGCAGGCGCTGTCACGCTCTACGGCTTTGTCGGCACTCGAGGTTGCTCTCGACGATTACTTGTCATCTGTCGCCGCCCTCCCCCATTCACTGGAAACCACAGGGAAACCTGGACTTGGGCGCACGGCCTTAATTAAGAAGCTTGGTCGATTGATGAAGTTCCGGCAAGGGCTCAATCTTAATCGCTCCAACTTCTCCGACACGCCCGATTTCTACTGGGCCGAACCTGTACTGGAAGGTAGTGACACTCCTCTTGGTGTTTCGCTGAACGTATTGACTGCATCCCTTATTTAGGTTATTTCAAGAGGCTCAGTGACGCTTTGGAAGTAAAGACTCGCACCAGCTCAGTCAACGACAAGATCACGTATGCAGCTGAGGTGCGGCTTACTGTATTATACGTGAGACGGTGCTAAAGTTTGCTTTGTTCAGGTACAATCTGTTCTTCGGCAACTGCTGACTGAGGTAGGTTATCGCTTCTTCTACCCTTTTTGTGGCCTGACCGCAATCTTCTCAGTCTACGGCCCATCGGATGGAACTCGTCATCATTGCTCTCATCGCCGTCGAAGTTGTAGTGGTGCGTGCGATAATCCCGTTGTGAAGACTCTTTCTCACCCGTCCTCAGGCCCTTATTCGAGATGGGCCCGAACTCTGGCACATGATCGTCAGCTAAGCTGCCTTGGTCGGTCAATGCTGCGAAGTCGCCGTCATCGCTACGTCCAGGATCCGACTTAACGGGTGCTGGTCCTTATCGAGAAGCGTGTATCAAAGCCGCGCAAACGTAGAGGTAGACTTGTAGATGCATATCGTCCCTACTCTAAATCATCCATAGCGTACTTCACTCAATTAATGCCTCATGCGTTCATACGAGGGCCACAGAACATAAGGCACTGCACAATTGTTGACATCTGGTGTCTTCAACGGAGTCCCTCGTCGCAGCATGAATGTTCAATGTTCATCGCGGGAAACCTGGGATGTACCAGACGATCATGTGGCTAAACCACTTTACGCCAATAATCCCTGAATGCACGCCCATCTGGAATCTGGGCAATCTGACGCTCGTCCAACACTGTGTCCTTGAATTCGTACCACCAATAATGGCTAACCTCCTGGGAACCGGCCGCGGTAACCTTCAGTCCTAGCTCAAGCAAGCGAACTGAAGGAAGTGCTTCAGCGATTTGGAACGCGAAGTTGTGGCGGAACTCTTCATCATGCATCTGGGCCAATCGAACGCCGACTTCAATATTGAGGGATAGATACGACGCTTGCAGCCCCGACAAAGCGACTGGCATCCCCCGCTTCAATTTGGAGTGAGTCGGAGGGACTCATTACGACTGGCCACTTGTACTCACCAAAGTCTCCATAGCTGCAACCACTGTCGCTGCAGAGGGTATCTGCCAACCAACTGGCTCCAATCTCATATCGACGAAACGAACTCGAGGAATACTCTCAATGGTTCGACTAATGAAGTCCATGGTCGGTGTCGTGGTCATCACGAAAGACAGGGAGATCGGGGAAGTGGCCCGGAACACGGAGAGCAATCGCTCATCCTCCGTAGCTCTAGACGGAGTTGGGTAGATGAATGGTCGTGGGTCGCGAACTATTTCTAAACATTTCACGGGACAAGACACACCGAGATCATGGAGGGCCTCTGCGTCCCCCCGTAAGGCATGTAGCGAATGCCAAGTACACTTGCTCCGCGCGGATTCTGGGCTCGTTGGGACGGAGTCTCCGAAGCCGTGATGTACGGTGAGCTTGCGAATGCTTGGAAAGGCGCGAGAGAGGTCGCAGATAGGCAACCACGGGCCATGCAGAACCAAGCTGGTGACAGAGGGTAAGTGCAACTGTTCTGGCAATAGCACCGTCAGGGATGTGTGAATCCTCATGACTTCGGGAGTCGCCCGCAAGGCTTGAATTGCGGGCAGGCGAGATGCATCCGTCCCGAAATGCACGTTAACCTCCCGAAGGTAACGCATTCGCTTCAAGGTCTCCATAGTAAGGTCATCCTGCATATGGAATGTCACAGTTGATAGGTGGACGCAGTGATTCACAAGAGCTTCAGGAATCCTGGGTTCTTCCGTGAACAATATAGCGCTGTCGACGAGGTCTATCTCCCGTAAATTTGTTGCGTGTTCAAGCAAAAGCGCGAGCCCGGCCATCGAGGACGCGCTAAGAGACGGGATCTCTGTGGCGACTTCCCCGTCGTCTGTGTCGGCTGTGATAATTGGAGAACGACGTGCGCTTACCCGACTGGGTATGCGCAGTGTTCGAAGGTAAGCGCATCGACAGTATGATTTTGCCGACATAAATTCACAGAAATTCGCCACTTTTCGGTCCAAATTGGCCATATCCGACGCCTCTAAGCAGACGTACGATGCGAGGACCGGAATAGCGAGTTGGTGAACACTTCTGCAGGTGGTAGAAAGACGAGAAAGATCACTTTTGGATAAGCTCTGGAGAATAGTCTTCTGGATGTCATAGCTGAGGTTCAGAAGTGTGGCAACCATGACGGACCGAAGTCGTCTCATTGCTGGGGTGTTTGTGAACACTATGAACTTGAAGAATTGTCAACGATATCGATTCCCGTTGGATTCAGAAACGTGCGACGTGGGCAAGACTGACGCGGCAGTGAGCAGACTCACCCGGGATGACATCCATCAAGCTGTACGGTAGAGTCGCGCGGAGCGCAGCGGGGGGGCACCGCACAGGGTATTACATCTGCCAGGATAAAGCCCGCTTGCTCTGCTGGGACGAGTAGCACAAGGGGCAGCCTCAAGGCTGTACCTCTTGCAGTGCGCTCCAACGACCCGTGACTATATGCGTTCATCGTTTACCCAAGCCCTGGCCAGCGAGGACGTAGTATTGCTCATGTTACTCAGTATCAAGCGCGAGAAATTTTGAGAACTGGATCCTTGAAGGAGGCTCTTCTGTCAGGCTTGCCCCTCGTTCATTCCAGAACGTGGCTGATTTCCTGCGGTACCCCGGGGTGAATCAAATTAAATGAGGCAGGCCCGTGGAGTGAAAATAAAGGAAAAGGGCTTCACAAAATAGAAATCACAGCGGGGGTATAGCGCTTGAGGTGGTTTCTTCTTTCTTCAGGTTGCAATTGTTTCAATTCTCAAGTTGCTTGTAAGTATCCCAGCGAGAGTATTCGCGAATTCGCGATCGCACTTCTTGTGGGCGAAAAGTCCCGCCACAAAGTGCAAATAGCTCCAATCAGGGCACTCGGTGGCGCTCATTCGCGCTCATTACAGAGCTTTGGTTCTGAACGCTTCAGTCTCCTGGACGCCTTCCCGTCTGTCAATCCGCTTTTAGTTCATCCTCTCGCCCAGTATGTCGATGGAAGAGAGCATTAGCTTGGAGGAGACCAATAAGATTCGTATTTCTCTTGGTCTCAAACCTCTCACAGACGACAAGGCTCCGGCAGACGACAAGGAGAAGCAGGCTCATGACAACTATGCCAGAGCCAGAGAGCAGGAAGCGAAGGAGAAGGAGAAGAAGTACGCTGCTGCCATGGTGTCACTTGGTTTCTTGCTGAAGTATCCTGCGTTATAGGGCGATCCAGGATCGCATAGCAAAGTGAGTAGATGTTTCCGGTCTTGCATACCTCGCATTACTTCCAAATCCCCGTTCCTTGGGCATGCAGGCCCTTGTACAAGATAACTCTGTTCCTTGCTCATACCCGTATCCTCGCAGGGTGAGAAACAGGCGCGAACTTCACGCGTCTCTGAGTGGGGCCACCCTTGGTGACGCCGACAAAGATGTAGACGACACCCTCAAATGGATTAAGAGGGCTAAGAAGCGAGAGAAAGAGCTTGCGAAGAAGAGACAGGAGGAACTAGAGAATATGGATAAGATGTTCCAGGCCGAATATACCGAGAGTAGGCAGCCATTCAGTCCAGCAGCGTAGCTCGGAGTCTTTCTCATACTCTTTTCTGTAGGGGATCTTGAGGGCCTGAAGGTCAGCCATAACTTCGAGGACATGGACGAAGGAGAAGCGAAGATACTTACGCTGAAAGACAGTCGGATCCTTGATAACGAAGGTGTGCCATTTCCGAATGCAAATTAGCGTGGAATGGCCCGCTCATTGCCTCCTGCAGAGGATGAGCTGCAGAATGTGGAGATGGCAGAGGAGGATCGGCGTAAGAAGAACCAGGAGATGAAGATCAAGCGTCGTGATTACACGGGATATGATGACGATGAATTCGAACCGGGTAATGCAGGGGCTAAGCGGGCCATACTAGCGAAGTACGACGAGGTGCTGGAGGGACCGAAGGAACAGGTATGTTTCTTCACTTGCTCCTTTTACCCACGACTAACGCTCGCGCAGTCATTTCGGCTCGGGGCAACAGCACTTACTTCTGAAGGCAAGCAGGCGGTGAGCCAAGAGACCGCTGCTGCTGTCAAAAAATCGTTGTTATCCATAGACTATGCTAGTGAGTTTATTTGTGACAGCCTGGCGCCACTTTACTGACACTTGTGCCTTTTCAGAAAATTTGGAGACCGCTGACTATCTCAAGGAAGGTGATGTTGGTTTCAAGAAGCCTAAGGCAACTATGTTTCGCTCGTATATCAACTTCGTAGCTAATGAGTTCATGTCTTCAGACAAAGAAAAAGCGGCCAAGCAGGCGAGTAGAGCAGGATCCTGAGATTCGTCCTGTCCAAGATGATAATCAGATGGAAATCGATGAGAAATCAGTAGCCCCTCGAGCTCGCAACCTAGATGCCAACTTCGTTGACGATGACGAGCTGCAGTCTGCTCTCGCTCGTTCACGGCGAGCCAAAATCAAGAAAGCCAAGAAGTTGACTCCTGAAGAAATTGCTCAGAAGAGTGCGTCTGCCTAATTCATGGGTTGTGGGCAAGTCTGCTGACATGCGACATGCTTAAGTCGCCCAGGAACGTGCACGTGAAGAGGCTGAGAGGGGTCAAGATGTCATCAAAGTTGAGGACGATGACGAAGGGGATGAGGATGGCGGTCTTACGATTGACGACACATCTGAGTTCGTTCGCTCTATAAATTTCGACCCCGACGCTGCCAAGAAGGAACCTGCAGTCAAGAGAGAGACTTCAGAAGTGCCGGTATCCAGAGCCAAGTCCGAAGCACGTTCAGATGTAGCCATGGGCGATGTAGACGACCCAATGGAAGAGCTCGAGGCGGGAGAAGTCAGGGTTAAGGACGAGGACGAGGAAGATGAGGAGGCTATGCTTCACGACATCGAGAACGCCCTCCGAGAAACGGAAGAAGAGGAGAAGAAGAAAGCAGCGGCTCAGGCGCCTGAAGTCGACATTGGGACTTCCTCGGAACCTACCTTCAGTGGAGGGATGGCGTCTACTCTTAACATCCTCCGTCAGCAAGGTATTCTTGCCGCTCCCAAGGCTGACATTATTGAAAGAGAGAGGGTCCAGAGGCAAAGGGACTTATGGTTGGCTGAGCAGCGCCGGCGTCTGGCTGAACGGGAACTCGAACGTCTCAAGGCACGTGGTGCTCCTAAAGACCAGGCGACTCGCGAATACGAGAATCGTCTGCGCGAGCAACAGGAGGCACGGGAACAGCTGGAAATGTACAAGAACTACAAGCCGGACGTCAACATCGTCTACTATGACGAGTTTGGTCGCGAGATGTCTGTGAAGGAGGCTTGGAAAGCCTTGTCTCACAAGTTCCACGGCAAAGGGTCTGGCAAAATGAAGACGGAGAAACGACTGAAAAAGATCGCTGAGGAGAAAAAGAAGGAGGCGATGGCGAGTGGGGACACTCCCCTCAGCATGAACCGGGCGTTCCAGATGCGGCAAGAGAAGACGGGGCAAGCGCACTTTGTGCTGTCGGTTGGCAATAGAGGGTATGTTCAGGGTGGTATCTCGTGTTATTGCTGATAGTAAATGTGCTTCTAGTGCTGTGCCGCAAGCCGAAGCCTTCCTGGACACGGCACAGCTCTCCAAAGGGAAGACCGAGAAGCAGAAGGCTAAGAGAAAGGAGAAAGAAAGCAAGACCGCTGCGCACCAGGAACAAGGCTTTATCACATTACCTGCTCCTACGTCTAATGGAGCGAGCCCGGCGCCGATCACACCTGTGATTGCCTCCGGTGCGGCGAGCACTCACGCCGACTCACCTGCGCCCAAACCAGGCTTTAGGAGTATCGCGCCGGCGTCCACACCTATGGATGCTGCTGATGGCAAGGTGAACGGCTCGGGGGAGCGTATGAAGGTGGCATTGTCGTTGAAGAGGAAAGCTGGCGACGAGCTCAGGGATTCTCCGCAACCGAAGAAACGGTAGAGTTGTAGATCTCTGTCTACATTATCGTTATACTGTACATTGCTGATATCGTCTACATGAGGGAGCGGCGAGGCTACGGATATCATAGCATGCCAATGCTTCTAATGCACAAATCCTTAGCCGCTGTGCATCGGCCTTGATCTCGAGGCGTGCCGCTTTCGAATGCTTTGATGAGTGAATCCTCACCCTCATCGATCCTACACGATGCGCCTCTGAATACAGGCAGAATATGGCTTCACTGTTACTCACCATTTGACGGAATGCGCTGCTTTATCCAGAGCCACCTTGATAGTACCCCAGGAGAACCGAGCTATCGAAGGGTAACCAAAAGTCGGCTCTAAGTTTGCTTCCAACCACTTCTTGGTGTTGGGATCTACCTCACGTTTGACGTTGAACTGATATTCCGTGACAAACAACATACCTGACGGATACCCGCTCCCAAACGCTGTTAAGGCATCGTCCTTTTCGGTGCCCTCTTGGCTGTTGCAGTGCTCTTCTTCGAATATCCAGCCCTCTATCCATGCATCTCTATTCACCTTCGCTGCGATGCTCGCAGCGCCTACTATTCTATATAGTGAATCTGCTTTCTTGGCCACAGTGATCTCGATGCCCGGAAATAAGGATGACAGATATGCTTGGTATGTTACGGGGTTGCCCAGGGTATCCACGTATATCTTCAAGTCGGTGATTAATACGTCAGGGATGTCTGGAGTATACTCCTCGCAGACTCTGACATCGCACCTCAGACAATTGGAGTCCTCGCTGTAGTACTTCACGTATCAGAAGAATCGTCGCTTCTTCCGACTGTTTATTCAGGTTTATTGGTGGCTTGCGCAGCATTCCACTCGAAATAGCCTGTGGACTGGATTAAACGTAGTGTCTGAGACCGTATCGATGCAAGTAGTCCAACACACCATATGACTCTAACCGACCAACCCAAAAAGTCAGGTGCACCGCTTAGCGTCTCAAGCAGAGATCTCCTCGTCTCTGCAGTAAGTGTCTTCGAATCTGGAGCAACGTCAGCACATAGCCTGTGATCGCCTGTTTACGCAACACTCACCTGCAAAGGCCATCTCTTCAAGATCATCTTTGCGTGACGATGCGCAGTATGCAACGCCATACACCAGGGGGCCGAGCGTCGGGCCTCGGCCCGCTTCATCGACGCCCAGGATGTACGGGCCAGCTACTGTGGGTGTGGGCGAATGGTACGTGTAAGATGTAGCGAGAGGACCATCTGCTCCAGGAATCAGACGAGCGGTCTGTTTTTCTGGGTTTTGGGCCATTGTGAGGTGCGCTGTGATGGGAGCAGCTGACACCAGTTAATGGTCGCGACGCGTTCGCGTTATTTGCGTTTATTTGTAGTAGGATTGTGCGTGCTCTGCCACCGTCTTCGTGTCATCGCAGTTTGTGACTCATCGAGTGGCACCGAGCACCTGCTGCTCGGGGAAACATTGAGCTGTATTTGCATATTCTATACAGTACAAATACAGCCGCTGTTCTTGACCTAAAACTGACCGCCTCGCTTCACAGTTGCAATAGGAGAAGATTCACAACTGATGTAGGTACTAAGTGATTGTGGACGGTGCATGCTCATGGAAATACTCATGCAGCGCACACCCAGACCATGGCAGAGACATTCATCAATACATACAAGCCAACGAAAATGCTACCCGATCCCACCTGGGGGACGTCACCATACGACGTAAACTTCGCTTTTCCAGTGCTGCCGGACATAATGGAAAATGAGAAGATCAGATTAACCCCCTTCATTCCGAGACTACATGCCGAAATGTATTGGAAGGAAGCTGATCCCTCGATACACCCGCAGCTCTACGACCATCTCCCCTGGAATTGGCAGAAAATCGATGACTTCCTCTCCCTAGTAGAACGCATCCGACTCGACCCCATGTGGATCCTGTTCGCCATCATCGACAAAACGGGGCCCGGTGATCTGCAGGGCGGCAGCTTAGCGGGCATTATAGGCGTGATACGGGCAGAGCCCCACAACCTCGTGGCCGAAATCGGCGCCATACTCGTTTTCCCGGCCTTCCAGCGCTCGCACGTTGCGAAGAATGCTATCGGCCTCTGCATGATGTATTGTCTCGAGTTGCCCACGGCGTCGCCTGCAGGCCTTGGTCTGAGGCGGGTGAAATGGACCACATCGCCGGCTAATTTAGCATCAGCCAAGGCAGCCGAGGGGATGGGTATGAAGTTGGAGGGAAGGAATAGGTGGGCGAGGATATACCCGGCAGGTACAGCAGGCACGCAGCTGCGCCCAGGAGATCCTCGACCGGGCATTGAGATGTTAAGCTACGCGATATGTTGGGATGACTGGGAGGAAGGTGGGAGGGATAGAGTGAAGGAAAAAATGGACAGGATATGATGCATGCAGGACCCTCCGTTAGCCTGCGAAAGCGGACAGGTATTCTTGCAGGGGCGATCTCGCGTATCACGTACGAGGATCAACGTCTACTATCTGTTGAGCGGTTTAATACATGGACAAAACAAGTGAACCTACGTGGATACCTTGGGCCACATTCTACTAATTACCGTGAAAGCCAGGATAACTATCATCCGCCATATTACCCCTTGTCATCCTGCGCCGGTCAGGGGAAAAGTTATCGGCAGGATAACCCATCTTGACTGGCGACCCTGCATCCCCGTAGTATTGGTTGGAAGGGGCCGAGGTGTACGGGCTGGCAGGGTAAGCACCTTGTCGAGAGGACATCGCAGGAGACATAGGCACGTTGTATCCATATTGCCCAGAGCTTGCCTGGCGCTGCATCGAGGGCGAACGTGCGAGCATGTCGGGTGGGTGCATGGAAGCATCACGGTCTGCGGAATCTTCATCTTTCGGTAGTTGCTTATTGACGGTTTCGAGTAGAGGACTGGGATCATAATAAAGTTCCGATCCCTCGTCAACAAGAAATCTGTATCATAGCTTAAGTAGTAGCCTTAACACGGGCAAGGAGACGCACTGTTGGGTGCCACAGTCCCACTGAGGACCACGCTCAGCGCGGGCAGTAATCAGGAGGGAATTCCACTCGGAAGCACTTTCCTAATGACGGAGACAATAGAGATCTTAGCCGCAAGTCCCTATCGCATCTTAGCCTCCAACTCACGACAGCGAGAGCCAGCGCACTCGACTGCTCCAAAGCTGTCTGGCGAACATCAACTCTGGCGCCCTGCTCTGCCGCCAACGTTTGTACTTGCGACGTCAGAGCAGGACCAATTCTCTGCGAATTGTGCCTCGGGACTCGGACTTTGATGGCTCTGGGGGGTTTTCCAGGAGACATCGGCAATGAGTGGAAAGCAGTACAGCCTAGGGAGCAGTGCAGTGGCGGCAGCTCGAGGTTGGCAGCAGTTTGAGGAGGAACGACGGCACGTGCTTCCGACGCGTTTCGGCAGCGCGTCTCTAATTTATGTATCTGTTCGAATCACCAGTTCCTTGACATGCGACACCTCTCAACTGCGACAGGAAACCATTTACAAAGTTATAGCCACATCCGCGCACCCTCGTTGTACAGCTTGTATGTCGCAGCCTAGGAAGGGTCCTGTGCCTTTACGGGCCACAACCTCTTCGGCTCCTGATGAAGCTCTGGCTGCCTCTCAGCAGGCCCACATCCAGGAACTCGTGCAGCTAAACCGGACTCTCGAACAGACGAACAAGCGACTCCAGCAGGATATCGCGCGGGAACAAGCACGGACTAAGGAAGCTATTCAGCAGATCCAACTCAAATGGCAGACCGAACGCAAGGAATGGCACCAAGGCTGCGAGAGTGTGCAGGCCTGTCATCGGATTGTGCATCTCCGGACGGTGCTGGACCTGGAGAGGGAGAGGTCGCAGGTGTTGGAAGAGAGGGATCTTGCACGTCGGGAGAAGAGCGCGAGGCTGCAGCGGGATTATCGGCTCACCCTCTTTCAGGCCAAAGAAGCGGAACTGGAGGACGAGATTCTACGACTTCAAGACGAAGTCACGAATGTCCAAGCGGAAGCGGAAGCTTCTCTACAATCACAGACAGCCAAGCACCAAATTGCTTTAGCGAAGTTGCAAGAGCGGGTGGCTGCCTTGGAGGTTGAACTCAGTGAGCGCTCGGAACAGCTCGAAGACGTGCAATCTACCAAGCAGAAACTCGAGGTTCGTCCTTTTTGCTACACGATACTCTATCTCCGACATACACCTAAAAGATACATGCCATTAACAGGGTGAACTGTCGGACCTGCGCAGCGAGAACGAGCGACTTAAAGCCTCGTCGTCGTCGGGCTCTGCCCAGACTGAACGGTTGACTCTGCAGCTTGAGGGACTCAAAACCAGCAACACAGAGCTGGAACGCGCCAACGAGGACCTCAAACGGACTAACGGTGAGCTGCAGAGGCAAGTTGCTAGGTGGCAAGATCTGGAAAAGAGGGCCAACGAAGACATAGAGTCCCAGCGGCAGAAGCGTGTTGAAATGGAGGTGCGCGTGCGGGAATCGGAGCGCAGGCTCGAAGAGGCGGAGAGTAAAGTACAAGAGCTGACGGAGCGGTTGGAGAGGTCTAAGCAGAAGGTAGAGAGATTCAAAGCAGTTTGGGAGGAACATACAGTGCGCTCTACACATTCACGTTCTGAGTCTGCGCACGCCTACTTATGTGGCTCCTTTTATAGAAAGCAACTGAGGAAGCACAGGAAGAAGCTGAGGAAAAGCAGAAAGAAGCGGACGATCTCAAGCGACATCTGCAGAAAGCGCGGAAGGAAGTGGAGGAATTGACCTCAGAACTCCAGAAATTTCGGTCGGAGGTCTCGAAACCCAAGGTAGCGGCACGCCCACGTAGTGTAGAGCATATTGACTGACTTTACTTTCACAGACAAGGGCAACGCCATCACAATCACCGGGTAGTGCCCCGCTGGAGGAGCATGTCGAACCCTCTGATGATGAGGACGAAGTGGTTGAGGCCGAACCCCCTCGCTCACAGCCGTCCCCGACGCGACCCAAGCCTAAACCTGCGTATGGCAAACGTGGCGCCGCACTTTCCAATGACGATACTGCTGAGCAATCTGACAGCGCAGGCAGGAGCAAGAAGACTGCGGCACAGAATAAAGCCAAGGGTAAAGGGCAGGAGGCTGCGGGTCCTGCGACGCGGCGGAAGAAGGTCGCTTCGCCTACCGAGGAGAGCGATGCTGTGGAAATCGTTGAAAAGGCGAATAATGCCAAAGGCAAGTCGAAGGGCAAAGCCAAGGCCACCAATAACCGGAAGGCGGCGAAGAAAAAGACTCAGATGGAGGAAGAAGGAAGTGAGGCAGAGGAGGAACCTCAGCCTCAAACGAAGAAACGTGCCAAACCTGCGCCGAAGGCCACAGAAAGCAAGAAACCTCCCAAACGTATTATTGTTGCTGACGACAGTGACGCCGAAGAGGAGGAGGCACCTCAGAAGAAGAAGAAACGTAAGATCGCTATATTTCCTTCTGCCCAAGCTGCATCTTTTCCCTGGCAAGACTTGAATCTGGTGGGTGTTATCTATCCGTCTATCCTTCGTCTTACGGTGAAGGCTATGCTAGGGCGACGGAGGACTGAATATCCCGACGGAATTGTCACCTGTGAAGGAGACAGACAATGTCCCACCGCGCTCATTCTTCAGCGGCAGAAGTGCATCTGGCCTGAATCTGCGACGATGACATGGTCTAGCTTGGTTCAGCTTATATTAATTATCATAAACATGAATTTACCACTCGGAACGACGCCCGCGATGACATGCCCTGGAAACAGCCAGACAACTGCAAAACATACACTCCGAGGCACCTTCAAGATATATATATTAGATCGCTTTCGACAACAGTGAACAGTACGGTAGAGACTAGCTGTGGCCACAACATGAAACTCCATTGCAACGTAGACAGGCGTGAACGGAGCGATTAAGGAGGCTGCTTCGTTCTTGACCACCACTAATAAATGTTACGAACATATCTGCACTCCATAGCCGGACAAGACGTCGGCAGGGAGTACAACAGTACGATGGTGGTCTGGTAAACGGTGAAGAGCGTACGGCAGCGAGCAAATTTATAGCTGTTGTCCGTGCTTGCACCTGTTTGGTATCAGTGGCAGAAGTATTATTGGTCGGCCAAACTTGCACTTCGACAGTGCAGTCTTCGCTTTTCAGCCTACCTCCCTGCAACAGCGCAATGGAGGTCTTAAATCGAGTTCTTGACTGGCTTTGGAGCTGGTTTGAACCGCCATGGTCGTCGCCAGCATTGCATGGGATGAATCTAGGCCCTGACGCGGACTCCGAAGATAATCAGAATCCTCTCATGGTTAGGATCGGGAATACCATCTATATAAGGAGCATGAATGAATTGATTATTGAATTCTTTCAGATTCAATTCTTTACATGGGATAGTAAACATACCCACATGAGCTGGTGGGAGCACTTCCAGACACAGGTACCCGCGCTTCAGGAGCTCGGGGTAACGCAAGTCTGGCTCCCCCCTCCCAATAAAGCTATGGACAGTAAAGTCAACATCTCGCATTTAGCATGATTAAACGACGCGACTGATACACCTTAGCGTGGAAGAGGCTATGATGCCTATGATTTGGTAGGAGCAGACTCCACCCACTGCTTGAGTTATGAAGCTGCTCATTAAAACTGATGCAGTGGGACCTTGGTGAATTCCCGCAAAAGGGCTCCACGTCAACCCGGTGGGGAACAAAGGATCAGCTACTCAGCGCGATAGCTAGTGCACGAGAACACAAGATAGACGTTCTCGTAGATGCTGTCTTGAATGTGATCAACGTATTCTTGCCCTATTTTACAGACCCTCCTGACTATTCGTTTTACTGCAGCACAAAATGGGTGCCGACAGGAGCGAACGCTTCGTGGCGGTACCGGTTGCACCTGACAACCGCCTGAAAGACATTGGACCTCCCCGAGAGATTGAGGCATGTTGGAATTCTTCATACTATGGAAAACGAGACTGACGTAGTCAAAGGCGTGGACTGCATTCGACTTCCCTGGTCGAGGGGACAAGGTGAGTGCTCTCCAATGAATCATAAAACGGCCCCGGTCCCCATAGACGCAGTATAGCAGCATGCGATGGACCCATGAGCACTTTACAGGTCGGCCCTTTAAATCATTCCTAGATGACCTGCGGCCTGGCATACCTACGCCTAACCGTTTTATACAGGAATAGACTGGGACCACCTTACTAAGAATAATGCCGTATATCGTATCCCGACTGACCGTCGGAAGGGCTGGTCGCACTTAGTCGATAATGAACTCGGGAACTATGACTATCTTATGGGCGCTGATGTTAGTTCAGTTTATCTAATGTGATGCGTGACGAGCTCATACTGAAATCCTGTCTCACAGATAGATCATAACCATCCAGAGGTCCGCGAGGATATCTTTGCATGGGGCCCTTGGGTGTTAGATGTGTGTCTCCATGCACATTCTTTCGAGTTGACCTTAACGCGGTATAGACCACAGGCGCCGCTGGATTCCGATTAGACGCCATAAAGCACATCGACCGGGGTTTTCTCTTAGAATTCGTGAGTCTCAGCATCCCGTGTCGACAACCCCCCTGACCAAAGAGCAGCTTCTGACAATGAGGCGCCGCCCTGGTCGAGAGAGAATGTTTGCCGTCGCTGAGTACTGGTCCGCTAAGTTCGTCGTTCCGGCTTCCTGTCTTATACCGATGTTGATCCACTACGCAGCATAAAGTTGATACTGCCGTATATCAAAGCCTTCCAAGGACAGGTAAGTCATACAGCACGAATTTGACCAGCAGTGCAGACCGTTATCCTAAAGGTCGCGTTCTTTGACGTGCCCCTGCACGGCAACTTTCACCGTGCGAGCCACTTAGGCCACCAGTATGACCTCCGCACAATTTTCGACAATAGTATTGTGAAGTACAGGCCAGGGGACGCCGTGACATTTGTCGATAATCACGAGTAGGCCAATCTCCCGAGTTTGTCCTTCCTGCATCCTACTCACTTCGCGACGCAGCACGGTAAAGCCTTTACCGCATTCACATTAAATGCGATTTCATCTGACATCGTCGTTTCTCAGCAAATAGGACAGTCACTGGAAAGTTGGGTAAGTGTCTTTCCCTCCATGCGTTCCCCGTTTGCATCCCTGATCTAAACCAGGTCGGCGACAATTTCAAACTGCAAGCCTACGCGCTCATCCTCCTGCACACTGGCGGCCATCCGTAAGTCCTCTCACCTTCTGCTGCTACCACACTCCCATCACGGTGAACAGGTGCGTATTCTACGGGGACCTCTACCCAAACACCGAATGTTACAACAAGCACATCGCCTTGAAGCTCGCTTTCCTCATGCGAGCGCGGAAGGTGTATGCCTACGGATCCTGCATCGACTACTTCAAGTCCAGGAACTGCATAGGGTTCGTCAGGACGGGAGATAAGCAGCACGACGGTTGCGCCGTTGTGCTTTCCAATGCGCAGTTGGGGTAGGCACTTGCGCACGTAAAAGCTATGTGCGATTTCTGACTCTGCAAAACAGGACACACGATGCGATCCCTGGGGTGAGGATGAACGTCGGCGTGGTACGTCTGCTTTTGCAGCCTCTGTCCAAGGTAACGCGAAGTGCTGACCCGCTTTGTAGCACAATGCCGGCCTGACGTTCGTGTCGTACCTGGTCGACGGAAAACTGGTCCCGATTGATGCGGAGGGCTGGGGTCTGTTCCCTTGCCCGAAGGACGTAGAAGTATGGGTCAAACGCACCTAACAGAGACCACGGAACGCCTCTACCATATTTACTCACTTACAAGCTCCTTGGATAATCGCTCGATCATAATAACGACAGCCAAGATAACATGTGTTAGGCAAATCCAATCGTAACCAATTCGTGGACTCGTGAGGACGTTGTATATATACATACAATGTTCTACAGCCCCGAAAAAACAATCGAGACAAATTCAAGACGCTGTATGCATCATAGCAGCGAGACGCAGAGCAGGGAATCGCGGAGGGAGCGGGGCACCCCAAAGGGAGGTAACACGGGGATTAAAGTGTATGGTACTTGTTGAACGGATGAAACGATCGGAGAAACTAGTCGGACGATAGTGGTATACTGAAGTCCATACTCAGGCGATGGAGAACAATAGAAGAGGAACAACTAGATGTCCTGAAGTCCGTTGAATGCTATCGCGGTGAGATCTTAAGCGACAATGGCGGCAACAAGGGCACCGGCCAGACCAGCAACGCCGATCTGAGCAACACGGGCCGCGGACGCACTGCTGTTGCTGGTGGTGGTGGCGGGTGCGGAGCTGGTGGAAGAGCCCGTCGAACGGCTGGTTCTTAAAACGAAGTCAAGGTCTTGTTATAGGCTAAGAACCAGGGTAACTTACGATCCACTGGGCGACGTAGTAGAGTGGGTAGCAGCTGAGCCGGTGGTAGTGCCAGTCGCAGTCGTGGACCCAGACGCAGCACTCGTTGACGAGCCGCTGGTGGCTGTACCAGACGAAGATGTGGCACTCGAACTAGAGCTGCCAGAGGAAGTCGCGCTAGACGCACCTGAGCTTCCGTTCAGACAGCTCGTATCAGCTGGGGAGGGGGAGGGGGAGGGGAAGTCAGGGCGTGCTCGGAGCTGTGATGTCCATATGCTTACTTCCGCTGAGGACAGTGAAGGGAGCAGACTGGACGGTCTGACCCGAGGAGTCACGGAGTGTGAGGCCAAGGGAAGTGCCTGTTGATAATCGTCAAAACTCGCAAGGACGGAAAATTGAGGGGAAACCAACCGGCAGGCTGGGTCACAGTCCAGGTGTAGGAGGTACCCTGCTGTTCGCCAAGGTTAACAAGAGCGGGAGCACTGGGCTGACCACCGGGGAGAATGCTCTACTCAGGCGACGGTCAGTCAAGACAAGGAACACGATATATGCGCAATCCGCACGAACCAGATAGTACGGCGGGGTTCCACCGGTCCAGGTGAAGAGGATGGGCTCGCAAACAACAACGTTGGACCTGGATCATCGAAAGTGAGCGTGCTGCGGGGAAGGCTGTCTGGTGTGACGTACGGAGTGTTGATCATGAAATTCTGGCCGACGACGCCGGCGACAGCAGAGGCAAGAGCAAGGCCAGCGAGGAACTTCATGGTTGCGGTTGTGGACGGCGTCGAGAACACGGACGGACGGGCGAGCGAGCTAGCGTGGGCAGCGGGGGGAAAGCTGGTGGGCGACGTCGTTCGATGGCCTATTTATTCTGCGGCCCCGACTGCTTCCGTGTTTGGCCGCGCCAAACAGCGACTGCGTTCCTGGAACTTGCCAGACTCCCGCTCATCGGCCTCCTCGTCCTCCTCGACGCTGTCCCCGCCGTCCTCGCCGTCCGACATGGTGGCAGAGACCATTGCGCTGGATACTCTCCCAACAATCCCGACTTTGCGTGCTCTGGCGTCCTTTGCTCGTCGCCCCCCAGTCTCCGACAACTGCAAATTGCTATCTGCGCCCACGTGGCGCGATATTCTGGGCGACGACTTGGACGATATCCGCTCTGGAAGCGACGAGAACTGGTAATCTCGTTACATCACTCGGCTCGTTCCCTACGTACAATCAGTTGTCATTCTGCAGCGCTTCCTGCAACGTGCAGTCCGTGTTGCGGACGTCGCTCATGATCGTCATACCTATCTCCCCGGCTGGTTTGTTCAGCGACCTCTCTCAAGGTACCTGGCCGGCTACGCCTTGGACGCCCCCCCCTCCCCCCAACGCGTCAGGCAGGCGTATTTAATCATGAGGCAACATCTTCGACGGCGTTCATCTCGCCTCACACAATTCACGCCTCTCAGCATCCCTCTAGGTGGCCTGGCTTTTGCTTCTTCCACCAACGACCCTGCGTCGTCCCTATTCTTAGTGTCGTACTCCGTCCCGGCACATTCTCCGACCCATCCCCGCGTCCTTCATATTCCCCGGATCAAAAGGTTCATGACGCAAGGAGATGTCTATCATTAGTCTGCGTCCCATGGGCGACTCCGAGTCGTGAGTAGATCCCGTATGGAGTTGACAGTTACACAGGTCGCATTCTCGCATCGAGAAAAGACGCGGTCCTTTAGCCAACATAACCGGCAGAATGTCGGCCTTGATTACCTTGCCTTCTGCAGCGGATGCAGCAGGCCCGGATAATGTCATCTTTGACGCGTTCCGCGGTAGTCAATCACTGGTATTTTACAGGATGCCCCATGTGAGGACAGAAACACAGTATACGCAGTCATTTTGGGTGCTCTTAAATACTACTGCAATATCCTGTCGTAAAACCCAAACTGTTTGGGTGTTTGACATTGGTGTGGCTCTCGTTCAATCATTGACTGCCCGAGTGACGTCCAGTCCGCAGTTAGGTTGGCGATGCAGGTGCTCTGCGGAGTACGCATGCAATGTGTAGTATACGGCAGGCTCCTAAACCACCGTCCTTAGCGTTCTCGCTCCTCCTTTACTAGGGCGCACGTGCAATGTTATGTAATACAAATCTATTTCTAATTTATTACCGGATACAGAACGAACAGAGGAGAACGCTATAGGACGGCTGGAAGAAATCGTCTCCCCGAGATCACCGAGTATGACTAAGCATTCCGAAAGCGGTAGCGGCTGAGGCCTTCCACCAGCAGTCGACGGGATGTAGTACAAGCAGTGGCACGCATACCTATGGAATTTGAAGCACATTCTATTTGTATATAATGCACCAATGGTCTGACATAGACAAAAGCAAATACAAGCATTGACAGTGTCACTGAGGGCTGAACATTGGGTTCACAAGCCATGATAAATTCCTCTGAGGGACAATAGTTCACGGGGGGTGTGTACACTGGGGGG